GGTTCTTATTTAAGAAACCTTAATTTTTTCTTCTTATTTTAGTTTTTATTTATTTATTCATTATTTATTATTTATTTATTATTAGTGGGTTGGGAAAGATTAACCCAAAATGTATATATTGTTTTAGCTTTTAGCAGTTTAGAGCAAATTACTAAGTTATTAAATAATATTTTTGATGTTTTGATTAAAGATAAATTGTTAAAATGATGAATTTGTTAAAATTTTGGTGAATTTTTCAATCTCAATTTTTTAAAATTGTCAATAATAATAATAATAATAATAATAATAATAATAATAATAATAATAATAATAATAATAATAATCATCATCATCATCATCATCATCATCATCCAAACAAAACGATATACAAAATAAAATTAAAATTAGAAAAAAAAAATAAAGAATGATGTGAGATCATTTTAATCTCACATTGAAAATGTTTGGAAAGAGGAGCTCTTGAAAATGTTTACAAACATAATTGCTTGCCATCAATGTGGGCAAGTAGTGAGAAGTCCAAATATTTTTTTGTTTCCTTTTTGTTTAGAAGTAAAGGAATATTAAAAATAGAAAAAAATATTTCAATAATAATATTTCACATCATCAAGGAGTTAATGCATATTTTTAAAAATAGTAAATGTAAATTAAAAATGGAATGAAAATATTTCATTAATAATATTCTACATCATCAAATTAAAATGTAACGGAAATTAGGTAAAAGTATCAATACATCTATATTCTAATTGACTAATTCACTGAAAATAAAAAAAAAATAATTGACTGAAAATGAATCTAATATTACTAACTGACTGAAAATAAAAAATAATAATTGACTGAAAATGAATCTAATATTACTAATTGACTGAAAATTTTAAAAGGAAACGAATATTAATAATTGACTGCAAATAAAAAAATGCTCCATAATTGACTAAAAAAAGAAGAAGAAATGACCAGATCATTGCATTTTAATTAAAAATAGAATGAAAATTAAAAATTGGAGAAAAGTATTTCAATAATAATATTCTACATTATTAATAGTAAATGCATATTTTAAACAATAGTAAAGGTAAATTAAAAATGAAACGGAAATATTTCAATAATAATATCTACATCATCAATTAAAAATGAAACGAAAATTAGGTAAAAATATCACTACATTTGATATTCTAATTGGTTAATTGACTAAAAATAAAAAAAGAATAATTGGTTGAAAATGAATTTGATATCACTAATTGATTAAAAATATAAAAGGATAACTAATTGAGTTGAATAGGATTGTGTTGTCACTACCAATGTCGTATACAAAGAGGTTTTAATAATGTGTAAATATAATCGGTGATATTAAGTTTTTTTTTTTAATGAATAAATTGTTATATATCTAGACAAACAAATATATCTTCCATACAAATGAATAAGGATACCAATTCATTTCTATAACTGAGTTGTTAGAGAACGAGCACATTTCCCTAATTTATGAAAATTCTAAACAATGATAAATAAAATCTTCAAAGTTATAGCACTGTATGCGTACATCTAGACATTAGCTATTAATTTGAGAAATTATTTGCACAAATTCAAGCAATGATAACATCAAAATATATAAACGATCCAAACCATATATTTAATTGCACTATATAATATTTGATGTTCTAATTTAAATAATTATATATCGATTCATATATTCTTAATATATTACAACAAATCCATTCCGTGCATCGCACGGGTGCAAATACTAGTAGATAAAAATAGGTTAAATTCCTTCACTTGTTTGACACTCAATGTGTAGATAAAGTCACGTGGGAGACCATTATATTGCCTCGTATTTCAAAATTTTGAGCCTTTTATATGGCTATTTTGTATTCGACGAGTAGTTATGCTGTGCAACCGTGTGCACTATGTATAGTGCACACAGTTGAAAAAACGACGTCGTTTTGATATTTAATTTTTTAAAAAAATTAGTTTAACTACCGTTAACAGCGTTATGTTGTGCATTCAGAATTGCATAAATACACATCCATAACTTCATAACTATACATTCAGAATTGCATAACTACACATCCATTAACTTTATAACAATACATTCAGAATTGCATAACTATACATGTATAACTTCATAACTATATATTCAGAATTGCATGCATAACTACACGTCCATAACTTCATAATTATATATTCAGAATTGTATAACTACATATCCATAACTTCATAACTATACATTCATAATGTGAAATTATAAAATTATGAACATATGTTTACGTAACTAACGACAATCGAAAATAATTTTTTTTTAAAAATAAAATGAAGTCAATTTTGTATTGATGTGCATCATGCACAACACAAGTATTCGAAAGTATGGGCTGCTTGGATAAGTCAAATCAAATACATAAAGAAGTGAAGCCTTTAAAACAAAGAAAGAGGGGCACGTGAATGTGTCAGATTGAAGATTCCAAAGCAGTTTAAATCTTTGTATATAAACAATCACCAGGCCAATAAATCATCCCATTTTTTAACTCCATAAACTTTTTCAAGTACCAATTTAACTGTACTGGACAACTTTTTGCAGTTCAACCCGTGACTTTAATTTGGCACGCCAATAACAATGAGTAGATGATTTTAATTTGTTTGAAAAGATGAACAAATAGCTTCTCCTTCAAGGTCACAAGTTTTCTTCATTCATCCTTCAACATTAATAAGTTTCTCCTCTTCAATATAATGCTCTACCTTCCTCTACTCTCTATTTCTCACACTTATTCTCTGAATCCCGGACCTCTCCCCATTCAATGCCATAGCTGTTGAAAATTGAAATCTTCATTCATTTCCCACCTACTGCCATTTACTCCCAAGTCCCAACTGCCCATAATCATATCACCCACCCTTTACACAGCACACAATACCCCCATAAACAAAGATTTCCATACTCTCCCACTCTCTCTCAAAAAGTGGCGTCTATCAGCTTCAACTCTCTTTCTTAAATTCTCAGTTTCTCCCAACTTTAAACACTCGCCTCACCTCTCATTATTTCCACACTCGAACTCAATCTCTAGTCTTTGAACTTATCCAATGCCACTAAAAATCGGTAAGACTTTACCTTATATCTTCTCTATCTCTACATTTTCTCGATCTTGCAGTATGTTTTCCTTGTTTTTCTTCATTTTCATCTTTTTCTCTGGATATCTAAAATTTGACGTGATTTTCTTTGAATACAGGTTCTTGTAAATATTTCTTCAGTTTTAAGGATGTGGTTAAACTTAAAAGATTTTGGAAGCTAGGAATTAGTATTCACCATCACGATTTCTCTGTATAATTTAAGGTAATTTATATATTTATGTAATTTATATTATTTTTTATTTATTTGTAAACTTAACAATTTTTTTCTTAAGCTCATTACATTTTAACAATATTGTTGTGTATTAGTGTTATTTAGTGTAAAAACACTTAACTAATAATTATGATCTTATACCTATGAGGTGATTTTTTTGATGAGGAAAATATTAATACAGAGATCCGTGACGAAGTAATGTGACTAGTGAAGTCAATACCGTAACTTACCGTATTTACTTCACATTTTTTTTAATTATTGTATTTATTATGTATTTCTCAACTTTTTAGGCGCATGCATCTTAGAACAAGAGAATCTCTGAAAAGATAGAGGCACTTTTCTTGAGGCCAATTGACCGTATATATAACCTTATGTCCTTATACCCACCTTTATTTTGAATGAAAGCAAATATTGAAACTGATGGATTTAATTAACCAGGAGTGTGCTCGAATCACTAAATCCGGATAAGAATATGAATATTAAGTAAATGAAGTTGTAAAGGCAGTGAGACCGTAAATTGTATTAAATGTCGTAGAATTGACTATTACAACAATATTTTAGGACAAAGTGTGTAACTAAAACATATCCCGTCTTAACGAGACAAGGTGGGGGGTTTTTATACAACCCCCACCCCTAACCGCCACCCCCTAAGGCGGGGGTTGGTTGGATCCCTGTTGACCAGGCCTCCTTGACTGGGTCCGGGTCGGCGGACGACCTCTCCGTGGCCGACCTCTCCCGGACGACCTCTCCAAGCCGGGTCGGTGGGCTGCTGGCTGAAATCTCCAAGGGCCAAGGCCTCGTGGGCCGAGGCCTCGTAGAACGAGGCCTCATGGGCCAAGGCTTTGCAGGGAGAGGGTTCTTGGGCCGAGGCCCAATGGTCGAGGCCCATGAAGCCGAGGCCCCGTGGGTCGAGGCCCCGGGTCTTGTTCCGATTGTATTATATCCATCATGAGTCCCCCACTCTCTTCGTTGAGATAAGTCGTCGACGAAAGAGAGTAAACAAGTCACGGGCCGGGCCCTTGGCGCGGGCGACTCGAGCTGGAGCATAAGCTGACCAGTCCTATCGCGAAAAGACTTCTCATCTGCTGGAGATTATTCAGGATAAGATAGAATCCCTTCAAAAGTGCAACTCCTTCCCCTATATAATCTTGAAAATACACCTCTCAAATCCCCATCAAATCTTTCACCCGTCACCATCAACTTTAACACTTCCCCAAATCCCCAACAAATCTTCCACCCATCACCATCAACTTTCCCTCTTTCTCATACATCCCCAAAATTCAAACTTTGGTCAACACCCCCTCCTCTCCCCTCTCCCTCTATATAAACCCCCTTCTCCTTCTTCATCCTACACTCTTCACTCCCCCCACTCTCCAAAATTCCGGCGACCTCCTCCAATTTTCCGGCGACATCCACCAATTTTTCGGCGATACTCGGCCGACCTCCGGGGTCGAGCCGCTACCCGGCCGACCTCCGAGGTTGAGCCGAGATACGGCCGACCTCGGAGGTCGACCCGTCAACCGGCCGACCTCCGAGGTTGAGCCCATACTCGGCCGACCTCCGAGGTTGGGCAAACATTCGGCCGACCTCCGGGGTTGAGCTGAGATCCGGCCGACCCCCGAGGTCGTTCGATAACTCGGTCGACCTCCGGGGCCAGGCCGAGGTCCGACCGACCCCCGAGGTCATTCGGTAGCTTGGCCGACCTCCGGGGCCGAGCCGAGGTCTGGCCGACCACGGAGGTCGAGCCTAGACCCGGTCGGCCTCTGCCTCGGGTCCGTTGCCCGATCTTCGCCCCTTTTGCGCTATTGTAAACACCCGTTTTTTTTTTCCGAGGGTGCGTGCGTGCCCCTTCCTTATCCCTCCCCTTTTGTTTCGTAGGTTTGGGTGGTGTATGATCATTAGTTTCGGTCTTGATGTCCTAGACTCCATCGACGAGAACGAGATGGACAACCCCCATTCTCCTAGTGAAGTACTCCCCACTGTTACTGAGGTCCCCAACCCCTCTCGGGGTTCCGCGGCCGACCTCCCTGCCCGGGTCACGAGACCGGCCGAGGTTGAGTATACCGACCTCGACCCGCGTGTCGCCCGTTCCACCTTGTCGCGTCTCCAGGCTTATCATCTGACTAGGGATACAGACACCGTGGGGCCGGGCGTTGAGGTGGTGGCGCTTGCTCCGGATGACAATGTGACCAATCCGCCAGGGGTCAGCTTCTTTGGTATCCACGTCCTCTCCTTGTCCTATGGGTTCCGTTTTTCGATTCACACCTTCGTGCTGTCTCTGCTCAACCATTATGAAATTTCTCCGGGCCAACTAGTCCCGAACTCCCACTGCATGGTTATGGCCTTTATTCTCAGGTGTCGGGAGGTACGTGTGGAGCCTTACCTCGATCTCTTCAACTACCTTTTCTAGGCCGTGGGCTCCTCGGGCCGCTCGAGCAAGGGTTGGGTGTCCTTCTCGGCTCGCTCCCATATGAAAACCTTTCAGGATCTCAACTCCTCAAACCACGAGTGGAAACCCAAGTTCGTGTTTATCTCTGTCGGCCCTGAACTCCCTTTCGTGTCTGCATGGAGCCCTCGATTTCGGAAACATGTCACACCTCGGAAGGGAGCTACCTTGTTGGAGGACGTGCGCGTTTTCCGGCGTGGTGTCCTGCCCATATACATAGCGCCGATGGTGAGCGATGAGAGCTTAGCAGGTTTGGGGTTCACACGAGGCACCCCGCTTCTTCCTAGCCTGCCGGGGCCTCCAGAGGGCGGGCCCGAGCCCCTTCTTCTGGATACGCCCACCTCGAGTGAGAGTTCGGGCGACAGGGCGTTTGAGTTCTTGCCGCGGGGTCGAGCCGGGTCCCCCGGCTTAAATGATGCCGAGCCGTCCCGTACGCCCGAGCTCATACTCGATGATGAACTTGAGCTCACCATTGCCATGCCCAGATGTTGGTTTTTGACACCTGTTTCTTGTTTGCTTGCACCGTCCACGACACTCCTCTTCGTTTTGACCTTGATCTCGCTTGTTGTTGTCAGGTAATCCCCTCCTTATGGCAGATCGCGTGGAAAGATACCGTATAGCCAAACGACAGAAGATTGCTAGGGGAGGTGGGGCGGGTACCTCCCGGGTCATTACCACCGGTGCACGTACCCGCGCTACTACTGTCGCTGCTCCCTCTAGGGTCCCGACCCTGCCTGCTCCGCCACAGGGCGCGCTTACTGCTCCGCCTCGCCCGAACTTGGCTCCTGTGCGTGGGTCCCCCGTCCAGCCTCGGGAGTTTCTTCGCGGTTTGGTCGCTTCTCATGGACCTGCATCTTCTGATTTGGCTGGCTTCTATGCACGTCTTCTTGAGGTATTCTCTATCTTTCATGCTTTTGTTGCACCATATCTACCTCCGAGAGCAGGGACGTACTTTATGTTCTCTCCTCCGGGATGTGGGCGTATCTTATGCTTGGCTTCGGGAGGTGGGCATACTTTGTGCTTGACCTCGGGAGGTAGGCACACTTTATGTTCTCGCCTCTGGGAGGTGGGCCTACCTTGTGCTTGGCCTCCTGCAGGAGGGCGCATTTTATACTTGGTTTTCGCTAAATGTGTTCTTCTATTAACAGATGGTTCTTCACTGTACCTCTCTCCTTGGGACCCACGAGGCCCTCCAGGGACAGGTTGCTGATCTTACTCGTTCGCTGGAGCGAGAGGAGGACGGTCGTCTGCGTGACAATGAGGACCTGAGGCGGGAGATCGAGGTATTGAGAGAGGAGCTCGGCCGTGCCGTCCCCGATTACCGGAGGTCTCCCCAGTTCGCGGAGGATGCTATGGCTTATGCTCGTGCTCACCGGCAGGAGCTCATTGATGAGTGGCAAGCGTCCGAGGAGGGGAGGAGCCGCCTGAAGGAGGAGGGAATGGCAGCCTATGACGTGGGGCTATACACGATACAGCAGGACCTTTATGCTATCCTGGAGCAGCAGGACCCGGCTTTTGACCCTGAGGAGAGAGGATTGCTTCATCGCCTCCCCCGACCAGGTGGCCCAGCTGATGCCGCCGCTCCTGTTGGCGTTGTCGATCTGAGGACCTTGGACGAGCTCTTCTCGGGTGGGGATCAGGAGATGAGTGCCGGGCAGGTCTCCCCTACCCCTCTACAGAGCATGGGTTCCTTTGGCGAGGACTTCGCTGCCTTTCAGGCTTCCAGCTCAGTGCCCGACCTGAACGGGTAGATTTAGGTCATCTCGTATGTCATCCTCCTTATGTTTTAGGATTCGTGCACTAGACTTGGTGTTTTGTTCCTTTTTGTTAGACTTGGATGTTATGTTCCTTTTTTGCTAGACTCAGATGTTATGTTCTTTTTTTGCTAGACTCGGATGTTATGTTCCTTTTTTTGCTAGACTCGGATGCTATGTTCCCTTTTTTGCTAGACTCGGATGTTATGTTCCTTTTTTTTGCTTCGTTGATGTGGCAACCTGCTTCTTCCAAATTGATAACACCTTTTTTTTTTTTTTTTTGAGTTCTCGGCCGATGGTCGAGGTATGAGACCTCGGCGCTGGCCGAGGTGTGAAACCTCGGTGCTGGCCGAGGTACGGGACCTCGGCGCTAGCCGAGGTATGAGACCAGCGCCGAGGTATGAGACCAGCGCCGAGGTGTGAAACCTCGGCGCTGGCCGAGGTACGAGACCTCGGCGCTGGCCGAGGTGTGAAACCTCGGCGCTGGCCGAGGTACGAGACCTCGGCGCTGGCCGAGGTGTGAGACCTCGGCGCTGGCCGAGGTACGGGACCTCGGCGCTGGCCGAGGTGCTGGACCTCGGCGACTGCCGAGGTGCATGGCCAAATTTATTTATTTATTTATTTTTTGTTATGGCCTAGTAGCCTCCCAAACATAGTCCCATGAGACTACGCCATCGGGCTCCCCGTCGGGGTTGGTACGTGAGGTCGGACTTCTTGCCCCCTTAGAGTACGTCAGCCGCTCGGGCTAAGTCTTTTCGAACTACGCCACCGGGCTCTTCCGTCGGGGTTGGTACGCGAGGCCGGACCTCGTGCCCCCTTAGGGTGCGCCTAACCGCTTGGGCCTAGCCTTGTCGAACCAAGCCACCGGGCTCCTCCGTCGGGGTTTGTACGCGAGGTTAGACCTCGTGCCCCCTTAGGGTGCGTGTTAGCCGCTCGAGCCAAGTCCTTTCGGACTGTGCCACCGGGCTCTTCCGTCGGGGTTAGTACGCGAGGTCGGGCCTCGTGCCCCCTTAGGGTCCGCGGGGGGAAGAAATGAGTGAGCACTCGTTCCCCCTTGTTTCATGGTTTTTTTTTTTTTTTTTTTTTTTTTTAGGGAGGAAAAATGGATGAGAACCAATTTTGTAATATACAAATTTATTCCGCCTATCGCCGTTCACTAAGACATTATTGGGGGAGGAGAATGGTCCTCCACCTAAAATAGCATTACAAAGTCCAACTTTCACGTGGCGGGTCTACTGGTAGAACTTCAGCAGGTGTTCTGAATTCCAGACTCGGGCTATCATCTTCTCTTTAGGGGTCTTGAGCCTGTAACTACCCGGGCGGACCACGGCTGCTACGATGTATGGGCCTTCCCAGTTGGCAGCAAATTTTCCTCCCGCCTGGGGCTGGTTTGCCTCCCTCCTCCAGAGCACGTAGTCTCCCGCTTGGACGTAGCGGGGCCGGACCCGCTTGTCATGGTATGCTTTGGTTTGCCTCTGGTAGTTCTCAGCTCGCACCGCAGCTGTTTCACGCCTGTCATCGATAAGGTGGAGGTCAGTTCTGTGGTGCTCCTCATTCGTGTCGGGGTCGTAGTCCTCCTCCCGGCGGGAAGGTATGACCACCTCTGCTGGGGCTCGAGCTTCGAAACCGTTGGCCAAGGAGAAAGGCGTCTTCCTAGTGGCCCTCCGGGGGGTGGTGCGATAGGCCCAAAGAATGGCGTCGAGCTCCTCTACCCACGCCCCCCCCCTGCGGATTCCAGTTTCTTTTTCAGGCCATCCACTATTGTGTGGTTGGCATTCTCCACCTGCCCATTTGCTTGAGGGTAGCACACGGCTACCTGGCTGTGGGTAATGTGCGACTCTGCACAGAACCCTTTGAATTCTTGCTCCTCGAATTGGTGTCCGTTGTCGGTGATGAGTTGCATCGGGACCCCAAAACGGCACAAAATATTTTTGTACACAAAGTGCTTGCAACGGGCGCTTGTTATGGTTGCCAGCGGTTCTGCCTCCACCCACTTGGTAAAGTAGTCCACTGCAACTATGAGGTACGTCCTTTTTCCCGATCCCATGGGTAGAGCTCCCACTAGGTCCACTCCCCAACTAGAGAAGGAGATGACCGAGCTGATGGGGGTGTAGCTCGTAGCGGGTCGGCCGGGGGTGACCTGGAAGTGCTGGCAGGTCTCGCAACTCCTGGCGTAGTCGGCGTACTCTTTGGCCATTTTGGGCCAAAAGTACCCTTGTAAGATGGCCCTTCGGGACATGGCAAAGGCCCCCTGGTGGGAGGAGGAGGTCCCCTCGTGGATTTCTTCCATGACCGCTCTGGCCTCGTCTGGGTACAGGCAGCGCAGCAAGGCGCCGTTATAGGACCTCTTGTAAAGTGTGTCCCCCATGATTACGTACGTAGGGGCTCGTCGTTTCACTAGCTTGGCATCGACCTCGTTGGGAGGCAGTGCACTTGTTTTCTTGTACTCCTTGAGGTGGTCCAACCAGCAGGGAGGCCGGGTTTGCACAGGTAGGACCGGGTAGGCATCCAGGCTCGACCTCTTGAAATCTTCAATTCGGGCTATCTTTGAAATATGTTCCGGGGCCCCTTGGGCGAGCTTGGATAACATGTCGGCGTCTGTGTTCTGGTCCCGAGGCACCTATAGGACCTCGTAATTGATCAGCTGCCCCAGTAACTGGAGCACCACGTCACGGTACCTCCTCATCCTTTCATCACTTACTTCAAATTCACCTGTGACCTGTCCCACCATGAGTCTGGAGTCACACCGGATTTTGAGCTTCTCCACCCTCATATTTAACGTGAGGCGGAGCCCCCCCAAGAGCACCTCGTACTCGGCTTCGTTGTTAGATAACTTGAACGCGAAGCGGAGGGCGTAGTAGGCCCGAAACCCCTCTGTGGTTATGAGGACGACTCCACCCCCGTAGCTTTTGGTGCTGGAGGACCCGTCCGTTGAGAGGGTCCACCACTCCTCGTCTTCGTCCCGGACCCGCTCCTTGGCCTCTCGGGCGCGGTACATTCGACTATGAAGTGGGCCGGTGCCTGCCCCTTGATGGCGGGTCTGGGCTTGAATTGGATGTCGAACTGGCTTAGCCGCATGGCCCACCTGACCAACCTGCTGGCCGACCCCGAGGCCCTCAGCACTGCGTCTAGTGGCTGATTCGTGAGGACCTATACGGGGTGGGCCTGGAAGTAGTGGTTCAGCTTCTTTGCCGTCACATCTACCGCGAAGATGGCCTTCTCCACGGGTGTGTACCTGATCTTCGCCCCCCGTATAGCTCGGCTTGTGTAGTATACGGGCCGTTGGACCCCCTCGTCGTCCCGGACCAGCACGGAGCTGACCGCGGCCTGCGAGATGCCCAGGTACAGGTACAGGACCTCCCCCTTAACGGGTTTGGCTAGGGGGGAGCGACATCAGGTACGTCTTGAGGTCTTCGAACGCCTTCTGGCACTCTTCAGACCACTCGAAGCCCTTAGTCTTTTTGAGGACTCCAAAGAACGGCAATGATTTCTCCGCCGACCTCGAGAGGAAACGGCCCAGGGCTGCCAACCTCCCGTTGAGGCGTTGGACCTCCCGGAGGGACCTCGGAGGTTCCATGTCCATGATGGCCTTGACCTTGTCGGGGTTGGGCTCAATGCCCCTCTTCGAGACCATGTACCCCAAGAATTTCCCCCCGTGCACCCCGAAGGTACACATTTTAGGGTTCAACCGTAAATTGAAACGCTGCTTAATTGAAAATACCTCAGTAAGGTCGTCCGTGTGCAAGTCGGCGTCAGTGCTCTTGACAATCATGTCGTCAACGTAGGCCTGTAGGTTGCGACCGAGGACCTGCTTGAACACCTTGGCCACCATTCGGGTGTAGGTGGCGCCCGAGTTTTTTAGCCCGAAGGCCATGACCTTGTAGCAATAGACCTCTTCTGGTGTGGTAAAGGCCGTCTTCTCCTCGTCGGCCTCCTCCATGAAAATTTGGTGTTACCCTCTGAACGCGTATAGGAAGCTCATAAGGGAACAACCCGTAGCCTCGTCCACCAGCTGGTCAATGTTGGGGAGGGGGAAAGGGTCCATAGGGTAGGCCTTGTTGAGGTTGGTGTAGTCCACGCACATCCTCCAGGTGGGTGGCTTTGGGGCGAGGACCACATTGGCTAGCCATGTAGGGTATATGACCTCCCTGACATGGCCGATCTCTAGCAGGGTGTCGACCTCCTTTTTGACGAACTCCCTCCTCTCAGCGGAGAGGTACCTCTTGCGCTGCTGGACTGGCTTGACTGCGGGGTCGACAGCCAGCTTGTGCGTGATCACGTCTCGGCTGAGGCCCGGCATATCCTCAGGGCCCCACGCGAAGACCTCCTTGTAGCTCCTGATGGTGCTGATTATTCGTGCCCGGAGCTCAGCCCGGAGGCCGACCCCTACCTTCACGACCCGGTCGGGTCGGCTGAGGTCGAGGATGACCTCTTCTGTCTCGACCACGGCTCGGCCCGAGGCCGACCTGTTTCCTCCCGAAATGCCTTCTCGGCGATGGTATGGACCTGGAGGTCCTTTTGGCCGATTTGTCGGCATGCCTTCAAGTAGCAGCTGCGGCTTACCTTTTGATCCCCCCGGGCGACCCCGACCCCGGCTGGTGTCGGGAACTTGAGACATAGGTGCTCCATGGAAATTACGCACCTGAGGTCCTCCAGGGTGGGTCGGCCGAGTATAATGTTGTGGGCGCAACTGATCTTAACGACTACGAACTCGACCTCCCACCTCTTGGTGTGAGGTGGGGAGCCTATCTCCACCTCCAAAGTGATCGATCCCTCTGTCTCGATTGAGTCCCCCGTGAATCCGGATAGGGGGGTTCGTACCTGCTCCAGCTGCCCTCTCGAGAGTCCCAGCTGGGTGAATGTCTCGTGGTACATGACGTTGACCGAGCTACCTGTGTCGACGAGCACCCGGTGTACCACCACGTCGTTGATGTCCAGTTTGACCACCAAGGCATCTCGGTGGGGGAGGGGCCCGTCAGGTAGGTCGGCGTCGGTGAACGTGATGGGCTCCCTCTTTGGTTTCTTCTCGTGGGGTTTTCGTGTGACCTCCCCCACGTACAAGCTTCTCGCCCACCTCTTCCTCTCGGTTGGCGAGTCCCCTCCCTCGGGCCCCCCGAAGATGACGTAAATGGCACGTTTCTTCGGGGGCTGGGAGTCCTCTGTTGTCTTCTCCTCCTCCTCCGAGCTGTGGTCG